TAAATGCCAATGTTTTGCATGACGGCTGCCTGCAGCTGGTGCATGTAGATTGTGCCCTTAGATCCTACAGAGCAAGCGACAAGCTGAAGTCACATTTGAAGTTCAACACATTTGATAAACTGACAAGCTGAATGTTACAAACGCATGTTTAGCCTTAACAAACAGTTATCACTCTTAATTGGCAACTCAGCACTGCGAAGCAAGAAACTCATCACCCTGCTTGCAAAAGCATATAAGATGGAACAAAATGCTCCTGACATTGAAATATTCCTTGCCAGACTTCTTATCTGGTTCTTATTCAAATCATACCATATTCCATGTTGCTTAGACTCCAACAAGAATCTGCCCAATCACTGAAATCTGACTGCAGCTTCCCTCTTCGATGACCTTCCCATAACCTAAAGATCTATCCAATTTCATATTAAGTGAGGAGTCTATCTAGTGGAAGCTCAATCATTTTGAAGGGGACATCAAGGGCGCTCGATCTAGGGTTGCAACCCCTCCCACTCTTGCAGCTCCCCTTTGGGAACAGCACTCTTTTCCCTCCATCAGGCCCCACTCCCACACTGTTCAGATGTCAGACACACTCTTACCTCAAATTGCATCTGATTAATCAGTCTGTGCAACCCAATGTGCAAAATGCCTGTGACAATCCAATCCTAATTAATTAAGATGAAATAAATGAATTGCCAATGTTCATGATTGAGATCATGATAATCTTTTTATTGGCTCTATGATGCATGATATTGTAAATGTATTAGTTCACAAATTTATTCTCAAGGGCCAATATATATTTCAACATTTGCATATTTCTACCAAATTGTCACTTTTGTTATTTTTGAAATTTTATGCTCAAAACATTAAAAATTAACTCACAAACATGCCCCTCAAATGTTTCTCAGTTAAGAGAACACATGCATTCATTTTTTTTTATCCTTCTGGGAGACTAACAATAAGTTGAACTGAGAACTACTTTGTAGAGGTAGGGGCTGGATTTTAAAGATAGTGGAACCATTACCACAGCAAGATCTCACAAGGAGCATCTATACCTGTCCACCTACACACAGGGAGGAAAAAGAAGCATATGTGTTCACATGTGATCTGTACGTTACTTGTTAAACTGTTTATACAATTCACCCATTGGGACCAAGAAAAGTCCAAAGTACAATAGTGCTCATGTTAACTGATGTGTGGAATTTAGGCATAGCTTTGTCTTAGTTTGTCTATTTGTTCAGTTTTGCAGCACCGAAGGGAAATCAAATGATGCTGACCACAAATGCTCTTGTACTGTGATATTGCATTTAATATTAATTAATAACAATGATGCCAGTTGATACTCTCTTGAGATGTCAAATTACAGCAAAGTGATTGCCTTTCATTGCAATTGACATCAACTTATAATTGAAAGATTATATTTCATCCAAAGTTAGATCAAGTGATGCCTGAATAATATTTTTATAAAATAATGAACAAAAGCTGTCAAAAGTGAATGATATAAAACAAGTCAAAAATTTGTAGTGGTGTTATGCTCCTACAGGTGATGAGGTAGGAGGCAGGTAGGACCTTTTACTGGGGAGAGGAGAAGCTGTACCTGATCCCTGCCACTTTCCTACCTCCACTGGAATTAAGTTTAGGGGACAGAAGTCAAATTTCACAGTCAAATTTCCTGCCCCATCATCAGTTGCAACCCTTAAAACGCCTATGAACTTCGCGGAACTTAGCCTATCAAAATCTAGTCTCCCTAGAAGCAAAGGGAATGTGACTGCTTTTTGATTCATTGAGTAGGTGCACTTGATAAAAGGCACTTGGTGCCTGAAAAAGGGCATAGGCATTGGCCACAGAAAGCCAGTTCCAACCCCTGCTTCTGATACACCATCCTCCATTTCATCCCCTCATCTCATGTTGCTCACTCTAAGATACTTCTCCACCCACAGTTCACTCATCTGACTCCTAGATCTTTGGACTCTGGGTTGCCCTTCCAGCAGCAGCAATAACAGCTTCCTATATGGCAATACCAGCTTGTGACTAACTGGCAATTGCTAGCAGGTAGGACTTCCCGCCCAGAAATCTAAGTCCAGAGAAAAGCTCACCAGTGTCCTTGGAACTCCCCAATTGACAGAAGTCCAACCAGGCCTCTGTTATTCAGTGTACTCCTGATCTCTCGCTGGCTATCCAGCTGGCAGCAAGACCCACATCACCAACAGAAGGTTCCACCTGAAATCTTTCTCCCAAACTGCATCAAAATTCTCTTTGATTGCATGCACATTTCCAGTAACAGTTACATAATTTCCTACTTCCAATTGTCAGTTTACTTTTAAAGTTTTGTCATTCAAGATAACTTGGAGGTGGCTTTCAAACACATCTCTGAAATGTAAATTATTTATGTAATTTAGTTCTAATAGCGTTGTTACTTCCATTGTAATTTCAACAGCAAGACGATTTAGTAAGGACTTTACGGGATGAGCTTAATGAGGAACAGAGCCAGTATCAGAAGCAACAAAGGCATCTGGTTAAATTAAAGTACCACACATCTGACTTAGAAACTGAAGTGGATAATCTCAAAATTAAACAAAAAAGTGAAATGCAGATGGTAAATGAACTTTCACTTTTAATAAGTAGTTATGTGTGCCATTGTTCACAAGTGATCTTTGACAGGTGTTGGAAATCGGGAGTGAGAGCTAATAACTCTTTTGTTGTTCAGTTCTGAAATGATTTAAAGTGATACCTGAATTCATGATCATGTTTTGTTTCATTTAGTATAAATAACACTTGGTACATGCTAAAATCTGATCAATAGTATCAAAGTGCAACAGTATTACTGTTTATATCATGATCCGAAGTGATTTCTCTTGGTCATGATCCAGTCAATGTAACATATAATATCCCTTCAATCTCTATGCTCAGAACACATTTTCTTACACTCTTGTCACATAGAAACATTTATAGAGACTGATTTAACCTAATAATTATCTTGCTGTTATCTGAACAATTCAATTGCAAAAGATGCCTGCACCCATCAAAGCAGATCAGGACCTCAGAATTGCTGATGGCACATACTCAGACACTTGATAGCTCAAAAAATCATTGTAAGGCTAAACTTGACTAAAGCAAGAAAAATACGATGGGCTTGGTACTCGGGTAATTTGTCTCGATGCAAACTAAATCTAGGTCAGGGATTCTACAAGTCTTTGCCTTTTAGTTTTCACATAATAAGCACTTTGCTAAATTTCTGATGTACTTTATTTATTGACCATTTGGTTCCCTGTAAACATTTGGGGTTAATAAAACACTTTGTAAATGAAGGCCCAGTTCACAGTGTTCCATCATGTCACCCGTCAGCCACTGGTAACCAGAATGTATCACAGTTGGGGTAAAAAGTCATCATCTTATTACAACTAGCAATGAAACTAATTTACAATCAGTTAGTCATGGTGTTTAGGTTCCTTTAATTAACAAAGAAACCCAAAGTAGGGATTTCCCAAGGTTTTTACACAGGAACGGAGGAGTGGATTAAGAATGAAATATTGAATGTAAGACCAGTGCCAACAGGTGTAGTGGGTGAGTTGCTCATAAAATCTAAGTGAAGCAGAGGTATATTTCCTGCTTTCTGGGAGCAGCAAAACCTAGAGGCAGAAGTGGATGCACATGTTCCTGTCCCTGAGGACAGCTCCAGAGGTATGCGTGACATTGAAGTTCAGACAAAGGCTGCTTTAAACAGCAATAAACGTTTTGTAAATATTTACCACACTGCAAGCCCATAAAAGGAGCAGATGTTGACCTGATGATAGAGCTTTGTTGGGTTAACAGTGCATCTGTAAGGCAACACCAAACTTATTGAACATTGTGCTCAAGGAAGAAACTTAAACAATTCACTCCTGAATGTTTCTCAGCTTGGAGTGGATCTTTTTGCTGTTGGATGAGATTTTGGTTTTCAGAATGGGACTCTTTCCTATCAGGCATCCAGAATTAGAATTGTGTTTTTTCGGGTCAGGTCTACCATGATTAGATGCAGACTAAATTTCCCAAACTCATCCTTTAACTGTATATGCCACCCTTAGCTATATCTATGCACCAGTGTAACTTTTTCACATTTCTCTCCACAAATAAAGAGAAGGTGGACAGGCTGGGACTTTTCTCACTGGAGCATGGGAGGTTGAGGGGTGACTTTATAGAGGTTTATAAAATCATGAGGGTGTGCAGATAAGGTGAATAGCAAAGGTCTTTTCCCTAAGGTGGGAAAGTTCAAAAGTGGGGACCTATTTTTAAAATGGAAAGAACTGTGGATGCTGTAAATCAGAAACAAAATCAGAAATTGTTGGAAAAGCTCAGCAGGTCTGGCAGCATCTGTGGAGACAAATCAGTGACTCTTCCTCACTCAACCCGAAACATTAACTCTGATTTCTTTCCACAGGTGCTGAGCTTTCCCAACAATTTCTGTTTTTGTTTCTGAGCATATTTTTAAGGTGAGAGGAGAAAGAATTAAAAGGGTCCTGAGGGGCAACTTTTTCACACAGTGGGTGGTTCACTTCTGGAATGAACTGCCAGAGGAAGTGGAAGATGCAGGTACAGTTACAACATTTAAAGGACATTTGTACAGGTACATGAATAAGAAAGGTTTAGAGGGCCAAATGCAGGCAAGTGTAACCTGTTTAGTTTGGGAACATGGTCGGCGTGGATCAGCTAGATAGAAGGGTCTGTTTCTGTGCTGTATGACTGTATAAATGATAGCATGCAAAATCTTAGACCTTATATTGGTAGAGAAATACTAAAATATCACACTGATACAGTATGGTATTGTGAATCCATGCCTTAATTACATACATGAACTGAAATGTCCAAACACATTTGGATCGATGGAATGAGAAGTTCATTTGAATTGTAACTCTCACTTTCCCATGACTTTTAAAATTAATCATTCTGAGTGAGAATAACAGGCTGTAAAACATGTTAATTCACAATATATTCTCATTACAATAAGTGGAATGCCTTGGTGCTTTCAGATTAAGGACAAGGAAAATCATATATCTGCACTGGAGGAAGAGTTGAAACAGCTGCAAAATAAATATCAGAGTGTCTGTGAGGAGCTGATGAAAGAGAAAAATTTTCAATTCAAGATGACTACAGCTGAGAAAAAGTCAAAAAGCCACGCTGAAGAGGTATACTATAGTTTCATGTTTCATTGGACACCAGCATTATTGTGACATAAAGAAATAGAACCATCGGGAAGTGCACCACTTGAGCCAAGCTGAGACCACGTTCCTAGTGGCAGAGATAAATGGGGGTCACAAGGATACTAACCTTGTATACTGACTAATTTATTATAGATTTTCAAGGATCTCTCAACCAGAGTAGATAGAGGGGAACCAGTGGATGTGTTGCATTTGGGCTTCCGGAAGGTATTCAGCAAGGTACTACACAAAAGGTTGAGCCATAAAATAAGAGCCCACAGTGTTGGAGGTAGTATGTTGGCACAGATAGAGAACTGGCTAATGGGCAGGAAACAGTGAGAAGGAATAAGGTGTTCTTTTTCAGGTTAGTAACCTATAACTAGTGTGGTAACTAGTGGACAGGCATCAGTTCTGGGTTCACAACTGTTTAAATATACGTTAATGACTTCGAGGATGGAAGTAAGTATACTGTAGCCACATTTTCAGACGACACAAAAATAGATGGAAAGACAGGTTGTGAGAGGGATACAAACAGTTTACAGAGAGATATTGATAGATTAAGTAAATGGCAAAAAGTTGACAAATGGAGTATAATATAGGATAATGTGAAGTTGTTCATTTTGGAAGGGAGATTCAAAAAACAGAATTTTATTTAAGTGGTGAAAAAATGCAGAAAAATGCAACACAAAGGGACTTGGGATGCTTGTGCATGAAACACAGAGAGCTAACACAGAGGTGCAACAGGTAATCAGTTGAATGGAATGTCGGCCATTATTTCAAGGGGTTGGAAGATAGAATCAAAGAATCCCTACAGTGCAGAAAGAGGCCATTTAGACCATCAAGTCTGCACCAGTTCTTCAAATAGCATCCCACCCAGACCTAGTTCCCTACCCTATCCTCATCACCCCGCATGGCTAATTCATCTAATGTACACATTCCTGTACACTACAGGGCCATGTAACATGGCTAATCCACCTAACCTGCACATCTATGGACTGTCGGACGAAACCAGAGCACCCAGCAGAAACCTACGCAGACACAGGAGAACATGCAAACTCCACACAGTTGCTCAAGGCTGGAATCGAACATGGGTCCCTGGCACTGTGAGGTGGCAGTGCTAATGACAGAGCCACTGTGCTGTCCTGATAAGAGTAGGGAAGTATTACTACAACTGTACAAGGTGCTGGTAAGACACATCAGGAGCACTGTGAGCAGTTTTGGTCCCCTTATTTAAGGAAAGATATCTTTTCATTTGAGGCAGTTCACAGAAGATTCACTGGGATGATCCCAGGTATGGAGAGATTGTCTTATGAACAAAGGCTAAAAAGGTTGGGATTCTGGTCGCTGGAGTTTAGAAGAATGAGAGGTGATCTAATTGAAATGTGAAAGATTCTAAAGGGCCTTGGCAGGGTAAATGCTGAAAGAATCGTTCCCCTCATAGGAGGCTAGGACCAAAGGACACAGTCTCAGAACAAGGGGGTGCCAATTTAAGACTGAGATGAGGAGGAATTTCTTCTCTCACAGAGTTGTGTGTCTTTGGAATTCCTTACCACAGAAAGATGTTGGAGCAGAATCCTTGTGATCTTTAAGGCTGAAATTCATAGATTATTGATCAGTAGGGGAATCAAGAGTTATAGCGAAAAGGCAAGAAAGTGGATGTGAGGAATCTTTAGATTAGCCATGATCTTATTGAATGGTGGAGGAGGCTTAAGGGGCTGAACGGCCTACTCCTGTTCATATTTCTTATGTTCTTATGGGGAATGAGAAGTCAGAAGGAAATGGTAAAGTATGGAGTAATTTAAAAGCAGAGAAAAAGAATAAAGATTAGAGTAACAGCCAGAATATGTGCTTCAGGCATCACAGGTAAAGTCTAAGAAAGGATTAGCTAGCAATGAGGCAGTCTGGGTAAGGGTCATTCGATTAATCTCAGAATAATGTTTTAGCGAAGATCTGTAGCTCAGGTTGTGTTTGGAATTGTTGGTTGGTTTACCGAGCTGACTGGTTTTCATGCAAATATTTCATCAGTGCAGTCTAGCCTCCATTGAAGCACCGTTGTTCTGTCCCACTCTGAATTTATATGGCCAGTCTGTGATGGTGGGCAGTCTTGTTTCCAGTTTTGTACTGCAGTGGTATGTAGATGGGGTCTATTTCAACATGAAAACTGGTCAGCTCGGCGAACCAACCAACAACTTAATCTCAGTATGGATACATTTTCTTATAAAGACAGATTGAGTAGGGACGGCTTGTACTCTTTGGAGTTTAGAAGCATGAGAGAAGACCTTATTGAAACATATATATTTAAGGGTCTTGACTTCAGGGGCCAGATGCTGAGAGGTTGCTTCTCCTTATGGAAGTGTCTAGGACCAGAAGGTGTAGTGTCAAAGTGAGGGTTCGCCCTTTTAAATTGGAGATGAGGAAGATTTTCTTCTCTTAATGGCTGGAGGATGTTGAATTATTTATTACAGAGGTCTGTCAAAGCTGGGTCATTAAGTATATTCAAGGCTGAGATAGACAGATTTTTAATCAGTAAAGGATTCAAGGCTTATGGAGAAAAGGCAGGAAAGTGGAGTTGAGGATTATCAGATCATCAGTGATCTCATTGAATGGCAGGGCAGACAAGATAGGTCAAATAGCCCACTTCTGCTCCAACATCTTATGGCCTTGTTCTAGTGAACATATTCTTATGTTCACTAATGATGTTTTAAATTGAATATCTGTCTTGTTTACTTCATTGTGTTTCACAGCAATTTTGGAGGCATTCCTTTTATTTCCAAGTCTTTTGTCAACCTGTATTTTTGTGTTACTGTACTGAATTCTTCACTGAAGTTTCAAATTATAATACTGACTGTTCTGTAGAAATGTATTGCCTTCCACAGGGCTCAGTGATGGGGCCCTTCCTGCTTGTGGTGTACATTCATGATTTTAGACTTAAAGTGTAAGAAGTATGATCAAGAAGTTCACTGTTGACACAAAAATTGGTAGGATGGTAAATAGTGAAGAGGATAGCCATAAACTGCAGAGACGGTATTAACGGGCTGGTCAGATGAGCAGAACAGTGGCAAATGGAATCCAACCAGAAAATTGTGTGGTAACACACTTGGTGAAAGCTAACCAGGCAAGGGATTACGCTATAAATGGTAGGACCCTGGAAAGCACTGAAGATCAAAGGAACCTTGGTGTATTTATCTACAGATCCCTGAAGTTAGCAGGGCACATAGATAAGTGGCTGAGAAGGCACATGCGGTACTTGCCTTTATTAACTGAACCTTAGAATACAAGAGCAGGGAGGTATGCAAGAACTGTATGAAACTCTGGTTAGGTCACAATTGGAATAGTGCAAGCAATTCTGATCACCGAGTTATGGGAAAGATGTAATTGCACTGAAGAGGATGCAGAGCAGATTTACCTGGATGCTGCCTGGACTGAAGGATCTGAGGTGTGAACAATGAGTGGTTAGGCTGGGATTGTTTTCCTTGGAGCAGCAAAGGTTGAGAGAAAACGTGATTGAGTTATATAAGATTGTGAGGAGGAGAGATAAGGTGGATAGGATGGCAATTTTTTTCCCTACGTAGAGCGGTCAATAACCAGGGGGCATAGATTTAAGTTAAAAAGTATAAGGCAAAGAGAACAATTGAGAATTTTTTTCACCTAGGCATTTGGAACTCACTGCCTACAGGAGTGGTCTAACCAGAAATTCTTCCTTCATTTAATCACGTTTAGATATTCCACCTGCATTGCCACACCCTCCAGGTTATGGAAAATGGGATTAATGTAGTTAGATATTTGCTGATTGACATGAACGTAATAGACTGAATGGTCTCTTTCTGTTCTGTACCCCACCTTTTTGGAGTGGTAAGGTCTTGGGTTTGGGTGTAAAGATTGAAAAAATAAGGAAATCTTCAAGACCACCCACTTCCTAGATGATTTTACATATTCTCCCTTCCAAGCTCTCATTCTTCCAATCTGCAATGCTTCCTTCCTTTCCTGAGTGGTTAAGGAATGAAACTTGACTTAAAGATAGAAATTGGCCTCCTCTGGTTGAAAACTAAAAGTAGTCCCCCGACTAGGGTAACAAGGTGTAGAGCTAGATGAACACAGCAGGCCAAGCAGCATCAGAGGAGCAGGAAAGCTGACGTTTCGGGCCTAGACCCTTCTTGCTG